AACAGAGTAAAATTATAGAAAACATGCGGGAGAGGTCCCAGTTGAATGATGTGTGTGTGTGTGTGTGTGTATCTGTTATAATTTGTAACGTATGATTTGCGTGGTGAATCTACAGGAACCAGGCCATGCAATGACACGCAACGCTTTATTTACAACATACACGTAGAACGCAGATGCGTGGAATACGGCAAAGACGCGTACGATGGCTCCGAAGGACTGTAGGAGCCAAACAACACATTTTACAAGTAATACGCGAGGTGTCGAAATACACAGTCGAATACATTGAACACGAGACACAAACACTAAAAACACAGTCAAAATCACGAGCATTTATATTTATCACCGGAGGAAGGAGGAATACTGTTGCCGTCTCTGGAGTTAAAGTGTGATTAGTTTCTGATATTGTTTACATACGTGTCGATGAACCGAAGGAACCAGCGTGGATGCCGGGCTAAACCGATGTCACAGAGATAATTTACTGAATGACACAATGATGAGACGATGAAAAGAATGGGTAATCACAGAAATTACCGTTACTGGTATAAGAAGATCGGTTGTAGAGAACGCACTCAGGCGGTAGAAGTTGACGTACTACTTGACAATACACACAGGCCCCGACTCATCGGATCGTCCATGTTATATACCGAGGGTCCTGTGAAAGATATCACACATTACAATCGCTAAAGTGGACTTCATACAAGATTTCAAAATAGATCGCACAGGAATCAGGAATGGATTTTACTGTCGTAAATCCAGTTTACGATAACAAAGCTCAAAGGGAAAAAGTTGAGTGGGAAAGATCCCAACCAAGGTTACAAACGCACATAATATTGTATCTATTAGAGTTGTCGTGGTTCAGGTTCACCACAACAGCACTTTCCTTTTAGAATTGTAATAGTCCGGGGCGACGATTAAAATATTATAGTTGCTCCTTGTTCTGTAGGTGGAGGAGCAGATTCCTTTCGGATGTGGCTGAACGGACAACACTAGTCGACTGAGCTCTGAACGGACAATATTAATTGAATGAAAGTATGAGAGACCACCAATATTCCACCTAATTTATAAAAACACTGAAAAACTCCCGATTTCCCGGCACTGCTTAAATACTGATCAAAATGATACATATCATCACATAAATGAGCAAGCACAGAATTACATTTTTTCAAACCTTATAAACAAAGCAATATATTTTCAGTTAAATTAGACAGTATAAAAATTATAACATTCAAGATCTAATAAACAAAATCATACATTTTCAAGTAAATTAGACAGCATAAAATTAGAACATCTTGAACCTTCAAGCAACTGTCGCAATTAAGATTTTTGGGTTTTCCCGCCACATAATACAATACAAAGGAAAATGCGGGTTCACTGGCAACGGCTGGGCGATGTCTGTTACGACCTCTCTCACGCGACCCACACAGCACGACGCATCCTGCAGTGCCACGATCCCGACAGCGACAGCGATCCTACTGAGGACAGTCTCTTCAAAATCAAAAAAGTTGCAAGGAAGAAATTCAAAATATTGTATTAATTTAAAATTCAAATGCGGATAATAAATCATTATCTGCATTTGACATGACGATAACAAGAAACTGTAAACAAGCATATCGCTTGCTAAAACAAACAAATAAATTAGCGCAGCTGTGCTGCACGGAACACTTCTTTCCCCCCTACAAGGTGGATTGGATAAAATTCAAAAATTACGCCCGGGAGCGGGCCTAGCCACTCCCCGAAAAAACCGTGTAAGAACGACTGGAACCCTCAGTCGGGATCTCTTTCTTGATTTCATCGACAGCAACTTTGACTTCCTCGCCACTCATCGACATTGACAGCGACTTCGACTTCCTCGCCATTCTCATCGATATCGACAGCGACTTCGATTACTTCGCCACTCTCAACGACATCGGCCACGACTTCCTGGCCACTTTTGCCGACAATCAACAGCGCCTTGTAATCCTGCTTAGCTTCGTATTCCTACAGGGCCTTGGATTCCTGCTTGGCCTTGGCTTCGTGCTTATACAGCATCGACATCGACCGGGGCAGTCCGTTCAACAAAGCTTCAATCAACTCAATTGTAATTCGTGGTAAGCATTTGTAAGAAGCCTTACTTTAATCGTTCACCATACCTACGGCTACTGCGAAGCGTATCGGAGCCTACCGCCCTGCGAACTGGATACAACTACTTGTCTCAGCCATTGTCCTCAACTTGAATGGGCAGCATTCTCAGCGGATGATTATCCGCTGCTCTGCCTGGGTCGTCAGTTACAACACAACACTAATCATACAAAAAAGAAACAGGCAACAAAAGGGGAAAATATTAGTAGGTTCTTGCGGGCCAAAGCACCCTAGAACAAGGCTGGACTAATTGCGAAGATTGGTGAAAAATACTAGATGAACAAAGGGTAGAGAGAGAGCTACTTATTACACCCGGGCGACCACAGATCAAAAGGCCTGCATCACTCTAAAGGAGCAGGATGTCCAAAGGTTGATTCTAAGTTAGTAAAATAGGGGACAAGCGAATAACAAATCATTGTGTCGCAAATGGCTTACGAAATACCAAGGAAAAACAATTAATCATGTGACAATTCACTTCAGCAACCGGCCACCCACCAACTACAGCAATAAAACGGAAAGAAATGAAGAGCAGCGAATGATAAAGCTTGGAGTCAACTCCCACAGAGAAGGAAACAATAGACAATACTGATCGTTTGCCGCAAATTCATGCCTTAACGTCCACAAAGGAAAATACATACCGTTTACCGTATAAATGGAGAACATCGATTTTGTCCTTTTGGCACCGGATCAACTATAACTCATATTCGGAAAAGCATTTTCCTTTACCATGGGTGTGGTCATCTACAGCCAACTAGCAAGACAGCATGGAGTGCAAAATTTCTGGGATCTGGGAATACCACGTATTCATATCCATTTAGGCAAACGACAATATTCTCACTCAACATACGTATCGGATAAGAAGACAAGTATTGCCTAGTCGATTACTTAATTGGCAAGAATTTTACAGCCAGTATCATGAGAGACTTCACTATCGCGACCTTAAAAGTTTGTGGTTAGACTAGTGTATGTAGCTTGTGTGTGTGTGTGTGTGTGTGTGTGTGTGTATGTGCACGAATGTGTATGGGTAGCGAACACCTAGTTATTGATGTGTTTATAATTATATGCAGAAACTAAGGTTATACAATGTAAAAGGAAATAGAGGAAATAATAAAAAAAGGTTGTGAGGCTTTGGCCAAAACAACAACTCTGGATCTTGGGAATGGGGAAGAGTGCTTTTATATCTCTGTGGCCACAAATCACAAAGACTTTAACTATAAACAGGGCAGACTGCCGAAAGATCGAACAGGGGATCAAGGGTGTTGCACCACAATGATGCAG